ATGTTAGGGGGCGGGGTTAACGCGAATCGAGTCTCTGTAATCGATTTGCTTCGCCTTAATGTGCAGGGTGACCAATCCGGTGTTAGATAATAAGGATAATAAGACGGTTAGAGAGCTGATTTATGATCCTTTATTTTAAGTGTAGTTTCAATAAAAAAAAAAGAAAAAACTGTGTAACATGAATGACAAGAACGAGGGAGGAAGTACAGGTTGGAAGAGTCCGACATTTTGTCATTAAAAAAATAAAACATCAGTAACGGACTTACTACACCGGGACGATGAGTTCATTCCTACAGTTTCAATCAAAGACACAGTGGTTGAAAATGCACCAATGTGATCATCCATTTACATCAGATCCACACAATAATGGGTCTAAATATGGGTAGTGTTGAACAATAACAGTAATACATGTTTCAGTCTGAGAAGCTGTGAGCCAGCTGTTCTCTGTACCTGCAATAAATGGGTTACATAATCCATGAAGTGGGAACAATGAAAAACCAGTAAAAATACATTTTCTAATGAGGTCAAACTTGTTAATAACGAGAATCCTGCACTGAAAATAACTTCACTTTGATTCGGGGTGAAACGTGTCTTTAATGGCATTAAGAAAACAGCTTGAGAGGTCAAACATACAGCAACGAGGAAAAGAAAGTTGAATGCACACATTATTCCCGTTCCCTGCTTGAACTGAAATATTCTACAGCCAGACTGATGCCTGTGTGCAGCACCTGGATGGTTCCAGATCTCCTCGCATGCTATGCTTAAGGGGTGCCGAGTAGATATCCAATAAGATTAACTCTTTAGGAATAAATGGGCTTGAGGCTCTTAAGTTCCTTTCAAGCACACACATTGAAGAATACAACCACATCTCACGCTTTTCTTTAAGCAGGAAGCACAGCCAGACTGCTCCCATACGCTGATATTCCTAGAGTCCATCTAGGACACGGCGTCTCGGTTACCCACGCGTAGACTTCCTCCACTTGCAACCAAATTCCGGAGCAGTTTGCACCGACCGGCCAGGTAGTCCTCCTCGTCTACATTGACTAGCAGTTTTATAGCCTCGTGGCCCACAGCTTGTTTCAGGGAATCTGTGATGAAGACCCCTTTGAGGGCCTCCAGCAACGAGCCGTTGATGTAGTCCCTCCAGAAGGCGTCCAAGTAGGTGAGCTCTGAAAACTTGATGTCGCAGATGATGGAGCCCAAGTCTCTGGATTTCAGGATAGTGTTGGCTTGGTTGAAGCGCTCAAACTGTCGCTCCACCGCCTCCTGCTTGTTGGAGAAGATGTTTCCTTGTAGGGCAGACTCATGCTGGCAATATTCTGCACGAACCCGGAGACGAATATCTGGAAAAAGGGTATGGATAAAGTGAAAATATGTATTGTTGCTGCAGTCTAAAGCACTTTTTCTGGATCAGAAGAATAAAAAAAAGGCAGAAAACTGCTGGCTGTAGCTGGAGTAACATTATGAGAACTCTAGATCTCTCTCTGTTTAGGATTTTATATGCAGATATAAAATCTTAATCTAGAGCACAAAAACTGAATCCACAAAGTCAGTATTTATTAAAACATGAAATAACCAAGATAAATAATGTGGTTTACTCCAACTATGGAACAGTTACGGTTGGTTAAAAACTCCTCCGTTGGTCTTATTTTTGAAAACCGACAACATTCAAGAAGTGTTTCACTAAAATAAAGCTAAAAGTTTCGTCACATAATTATAGTTTAGCCTAATAATGATGGAGCTCCCAAACAGCTTTCATAGTTGTTTTAAACACATTAATATCTTTCACTTGGAGGAATAACCGTTCAAACGGGTTGTTCCAAAAGATCCTTGAGGAGATAAAAAAGTCTTATGGTGCGTTCAGACTGAACACGGGGGCCGCGGTAATCTATCTCTGTGGAATTAAACCAGGTGAAACTAAAACTTTACCACTTTTGGAGTTCTGGATAGTACGACGGAGTATCAGGGGAAGGCAGGGGTTTCTTTTTTTTTATTTCGAGAATAAAGTTACAAGAATAAAGTCCTAAAATTAAGACAACAGTCGTAACATTACAAGAATAAAGTCATAACTTCATGAGAATAAAATCCTAAAATTACGAGAATAAAGTTATATTTTATGACATCTCTTAGAAGAACCACTGTCTTCCCTAAAATGAGTAATGTAGAGCATTATGTGAAATGATACTTTTGCTCTGGTTTGAAAAAATGAGGAAATCTTTTAGTACACCAGCATTAAATTGGGCAGCATGTCAAAGTGGACTCAGATTGCTGATTGGTGGAGCTGGGCGGAGCTTTCCGAAACGGGTTGTGGTATGATGACTTCATTCTCGTAATATTACGACTGTATTTTCGTAATGTTACGACTTTATTCTCAAAATAAAAAAAAAAATGTAGCCTGGCCTTTATAGTCCGTCGTAGGATAGAGCACATTGACAGAAGGAGATGTTTTCTTATCTTCTATTTCTTAAATGCGATGTATAATTTTTTTTCACAATTTTGGTATAATTATTGCTCTAACTGGGTTGCTCTGGCAGCTAAAAGCATGTTATACAGTCTCTATACTTCAGTAAATGATTAATGGATCCATCCATCCGTCTTCTGCTTATGTGGGTTAAGGTTGCCGGGGTAGCAGCGTCAGTAGGGAGGCCCAGACATCCCTCTCCCCAGCCACTTGGGCCAGCTCC